TAATGAAATATATATCTTAAATAAGATTTGAATGTCAAAATGATTCCTTGATCCATGGGCTACAGAATGGACATTGTGTTAGTAAGCATGAAAACAACGTTCATCCCCTTGTACAGCTCCATCAGAGTCCTTGGGTGACCAGGTGCATTGTTAATGAGCAATGATATTTGAAAGGAATCTTTTTTTTCTCAGCAGTAAATCTTAACAATGGGCTAAAAATATTCAGGAAACCAACCGTAAACAGATGTACTGTCACCTAGGCTTTTTGTCCCATTTATGGAGCACAGGCAGAGTAGATTTAGCATAATTCTTAAGGGCCCTAGGATTTTTAGAATGGTATAAACAAGCATTGGCTTCAACTTAAAGTCACCAGCTGCATTAGCCCCTAACAAGAGTCACCCTGTCCTTTGAAGCTTTGAAGCCAGACATTGACTTCTCCTCTCTAGCTGTGAAAGTCCTAGATGGCATCTTCTTGCAGTAGAGGCTGTTTCTTCGACATAGATAATCTGTTATTTAGCATAGGTCACCTTCATCAATGATCTTAGCTAGATCTCTTGGATAGCTTGCTGAAGCTTCCCCATCACAGCTTGCTGCTGCACCTTGTACTTTTATGTTATGAAGATGGCTTTTTTCTTTAAACCTCATGAACCAACCTCTGCTAGCTTCCAACTTTTCTTCTGCAGCTTCCTCACTTCTCTCAGGCTTCATAGAATTGAAGAGTGTCAATAATTAGCAATAAGATCATTTCTCTTTGTTACCATTTGTTTGTTCACTGGAGTAGCACATTTTACTTCCTTTATGAACTTCTTTGCATTCACAATTTAGCTAACTGGCACAAGAGGCCTAGCTTTCAGCCTATCTCAACTTTCAACATGTCTTCCTTACTAAGCTTAATCATTTATAACTTTTGATTTTAAGTGAGAGACATGCAACTCCTTCTTTCACTTGACTACTTAGAGGCCATTGTAGGGTTATTAATTGGCCTAATTTCAATATTATTGTATCTTAGGGAATAGGAAGGTCTGAGGTGGGGGAGAGAGATGGGGTAACAGCCGGTGAAACAGTCAGAATACACACCATGTTCATCAACTAAGCTCACCATCTCACATGGGCATGGTATTTTATGCCCCCAAATAATTACAGTAGTAATATAAAAAATCACTGATCATAGACCATCATAATAAAATAATAATAATAAAGTGTGAAATATTGTGATAATTACCAAAATGTGACAAAGAGACAAAAAGCGAGCATATACTATTGGAAAAATGACACCAATAGACTTGCTTGACATAAGGTTGTCACAAACCTTCAATTTGTAACAAACACAATATTTGTAAAGCCCAATAAAGTGAAGCTCAATAAAATAAGATATGCTTGTGTACAGTGTATTACTACTAAGTCACTATGTTGTATATTAGATTTCAGAACTTGTCTAACTGAAACTTTGTAGCCTTTAACCAACATCTCCCCATTCTCCTACCCCCTACCTGTATCCCCTGGCAACTACCTATCTTCTTTCTGCTTCTATGTGTTCGACTTTTTTAGATTTCACATGTAAGTGAGACCATGCAATATTTGCCTTTCTGTGTCTGGCTTATTTCACTTAGCATAACGTCTTTCAGGCTATGTCACATTTTTTCTATCCATTCATCCATTGATGGATACTTAGGTTGATTCCATATCTTGGCTATTACGAATAATGCTGCAATGAACAATGGAGTGTAGAGATGTCTTTGACAGACTAATTTCATTTCCTTTGTATACAATATCTATAAACTTCTCTCTTAGAACTGCTTTTGCAGCATCTCATAAGTTTTGGTATGTTATGTTTCCATTTTCATTTGTCTCAAGATATTTTTATTTCCCCTTTGATTTCTTCTTTCACTCATTTGTAATTCAGGAGTGTGTTATTTAATTTCTACATATTTGTGAATTTTCCAAATTTCTTCCTGTTATTAATTTCTAGTTTCATACCATGTGGTTGGAAAAGATTTCTGAGCAGGCTTTCTTTTTTTTTTTTTTGAGACAGAATCTCACTTTCTTGCTCAGGCTAGAGTGAGTGCTGTGGTGTCAGCCTAGCTCACAGCAACCTCAAACTCCTGGGCTCAAGCAATCCTGCTGCCTCAGCCTCCCAAGTAGCTGGGACTACAGGCATGTGCCACCATGCCCAGCTAATTTTTCTATATATATTAGTTGGCCAATTAATTTCTTTCTATTTATGGTAGAGACGGGGTCTCACTCTTGCTCAGGCTGGTTTTGAACTTCTGACCTCGAGCAATCCGCCCGCCTCGGCCTCCCAGAGTGCTAGGATTACAGGTATGAGCCACCACGCCTGGCCTGAGCAGGCTTTCTTATGAGGACCATGGGTGGGCTTGCTGCTGGAGTCCTCAGGCAGGCTGACCTGGTGTCTGTGTCAGCAGGTCAGCAGGCCTGGAACCTGGGTCCTCCTGGGGAACCTTTATGGGTCATGCTTGGAGCCTGCGTCCACTGAGGTGAGCCTGCAGGGTAGGGTATGCTGGGGCAAGCCTGGATCCTGGGCCCACAGGGGCTAGCATGGTGCCAGTGTCCATTGAGCTGGACATGTCAACTGAGTTCACTGGCTTGAGCCTGAAGCCTGAGTCTACTAGGATAGGCCTGGGTCCTAGGTCCATGGGGGCCAGTCTGTGGCCTGGATAGACAGATGTTGTCCTGGAACTTGAGTGTGCCACAGCCAGCCTGGTGCCAGGGTGTACGGGGGCAAGCCTGGACCCTGGATCCACTGGAGACTAGGGCTATGAGGATTGGTCTGGAGTCTAGAGTCAGGCTAGTTCTGGGGCAGGGCTAGTGCATGGGTCCATGGGTGCTGGTCTGGAGTCTGGATCTGTAGATACTTGCCTGGTACTAGAACCTAACTGAACCTAGGAGCCTCAGGGGTTGGCCTAGAATTGGAACAGGACTGAATCCTGGGGTCTCAGAGACTGGCCTGGAGCTGAGAACCATAGGTGCCAGCCTGGCACTGAGACAGGCCTAGAAACTGGGCTCATGGGTGCTGGCCTGGGGTTTAGAGCTAGAGGAGCCAGCCTGGCACTAGCATGGGTCTGAAGACTGGGGCTGAGGAGCCAGCCTTGAGCCTAGGACCACAGGGCCTGGCCTGGCATTGAGGTAGGCCTAGGGGCTAGGTCCATGGGTATCAGCCTGTAAACTGGGGCTGTGGCAAAGTTAGGTAGTCACTTTACTCTCTTTCCCTTACTTGGAGGGTATCTCTCTGTGCTGTAGTGTCCAGGCTTGGGGCAGAGGGTAACACTTTTAATGGGAAACTGCCCTTCCTACCCTATTCAATGTGTCTTTTCTCTCTTTTTTTTTCTCAGACAGAGTCTCTCTCTGTCACCCCAGGTAGAGTGCAGTGGCATTGTCATATATTCACTGCAACCTCAAACTCCTGGGCTCATGCAATCCTCCTGCCTCAGCCTCCCAAGTAGCTGGGACTACAGGCACATGCCACCATGCCTGGCTAATTTTTCTGTTTTTGGTAGAGACGGGTCTTGCTCTTGCTCAGGCTGGTCTCGAACTCTGGAGCTCAAGAAATTCTCCCACTTCAGCCTGCCAGAGTGCTAAGATTACAGGCGTGAGCCACTGTGCCTGGTTGGAATTTTGATAGGGATTATATTAAATATGTAGATTCCGAAGTATTGTAATCTTGACAATTTTAAGTCTTTAATGCATGAACATGAGCATGGAATGCCTTTCTATTTATTTAGATCTTCTTTAGTTTCTTTCAGTAATATGTTTTATAATTTTTGGTACACAAGTCTTGCACTTCTTTGGTTCAATTTATTCCTAAGTATTTTATTCATTTTGATGCTATTGTAAATGGAATTGATGTACTGATTTCCTTTTTGGGTTATTTATTACTAGCATACAGAAATAAAGTTGAATTTTTAATATTCTGTATCCTATAAACCCGCTAAATTTATTTATTAGCTCTAAGAGAGTTTTTTTGTGTATTTCTTAGGATTTTCTAGATACAAGATCATGTCATCTGCAAATAGAGAGTTTTATTTCTTCCTTTCCAGTCTGGAAGCTTTTTCTTTCTTTTCCTTGCCTAATCATCCTGGCTAGAACCCCCAGTACAATGTTGACTATAAGTGGCAAAAGTAGACATCCTTGTCTTGCCCAGCTACTTTTGGAATAGCAGCTGAAATGATTATATAAGTCATTTCCTAAAGACTGCTGTTCTCACCAAACTCTGTGGTTAACACTTAATGTCCAGATTTAATTATTTCTTACTGCTAGTCTCCTTGATGTCACATTGTATGTCCTTAACCTACTACTTGCTACCATGGTTTCTAAATACTGAGTTACTCCTACTAACTGCACTTGGATTTTTTACCTGAACTCTCAATATGTCTGATTGCTTCTACTTAATTAAAAAACTGCTATAGGCTGGGCACGGTGGCTCACGCCTGTAATCCTAGCACTCTGGGAGGCTGAGGCAGGCAGATTGCTCGAGGTCAGGAGTTCGAAACCAGCCTGAGCAAGACCCCGTCTCTACCATAAATAGAAAGAAATTAATTGGCCAACTGATATATATATACAAAAAATTAGCCAGGCATGGTGGCACATGTCTGTAGTCCCAGCTACTCGGAAGGCTGAGGCAGTAGGATCGCTTGAGCCCAGGAGTTTGAGGTTGCTGTGAGCTAGGCTGACGCCACAGCACTCACTCTAGCCTGGGCAACAAAGTGAGACTCTGTCTCAAAAAAAAAGAAAAGAAAAGAAACTGCTATAAGAGGTTGGTGGATGTTTGACATGAAAAGACATAAAAATACCACCTTGGAAAATACAAAATAAACATATTGGAGAACTCAGCTTCACGAATCTTTCAAGAACTTTGGTGTATTTCTCAATTCATAGATCAGTTCTGCTTCCATAACCCAAGGAAAATGAGAACTGGAGAAACTTTTAGTTGTTTGTTTTTTTGCCCAGATCCCATTGGTGCCCAATCTAATCACCAAACTTACACCTTCATTTCTTAGTTCACACTTCATTCTTCATTGCTTACGCACTGCTCTCCAAAGCACAACTGTATCAAGGTGGCTGGGTCTTGAAGAGTTTCCTGCATCAAACCACATTTTGTTTAAAATTAGCCTCTTTCTACTTCTGATAATGCAAAAAAAAAAATAAATAAAATAAAATTAGCCTCCTTCCATAATTTTTTTTTTAGAGACAGGGTCTCATTCTGTCACCTAGGCTGGAGTGCAGTGGCATGATCACAACTCACTGTAACCTCAAACTCCTGGGCTAGAAATCATTCCATCTCAGCCTCCTGAGTATCTGGGACTATAGTCACATGCCACCATAACTTGCTAATTTTTAAATTTTTTGTAGAGATGGGGTCTCACTATGTTGTGCCAGCCTGGTCTTGAACTCCTGGCCTCAAACAATCCTCCCACCTCAGCCTCCCAAAGCACTGGGATAACACACGTGAGCCACTGTGCCTAGCCAAAATTAACCATTTCAAAGTGAATATTTCAGTGGCATTTAGTATATTTAATATCTTGTGCAACCACTACCTCTATCTAGTTCCATTTTCATCACCCCAAAATGAAACCCTCTACCCATTAAGCAATTACTCTCCATTACTCCCTCCCCTTACCCATTGGCAACCACAAATCTGCCTTCTATCTCTACAGATTCACCGTTTATGGATATTTCTTATAAATCAGGGTCCCCAACCTATGGTGAGTTGTCTATTTCATTATATATTACAAAGTAATAATACTAGAAATAAAGTGCACAATAAATGTAATGCACTTGAATCATCCTGAAACCAACTTCCTCTCCCTGGTCCATGGAAAAATTGTCTTCCATGAAAACGGTCCCTGGTGCCAAAAAAGGTTGGCGACCACTGATATAAACGGAATCATACCTGACTTTTTGTGCATGCCTTCTTTCACTCAGCACTGTTTTTGAGGTTCATCCATATTATGGCATGTATTGGTACTTCATTTTTATGGCTAAATAATGTTTCATTGAATGCATATACCACATTTTATTTATCCATTCATCAGTTTATGGACATCTGGGTTGTTTATACCTTTTGGCTATTATGAATAATGCTTCCATGAACATATATATACTTCCTTGAATTTGTGTAAAGCCCCAAGTATGAGCCTAGATGTCCTATGTCTTCAAGTTAATTTTACTTCAGGGGCTTGTTGTTTTATTTGATGCTGGGCATTTGTCAGAACCTCCACAAAAGATCTTTCTAACTTAAAATCTCAGGGAGAATGGGCTGGACATTGATCTCTTTTTTCCCCCCTAGTTCCTGAGTTCCTTAAGCAAATAGGTATTCAACCTGCCTAGAACACTACATACCAAGGAAAGAAGCCTGTGACCCCTTTCTTTCCAGAATTATGAGTGTCAATTTATTTGCTCTATATTTATACAACTTAGATGACCTATGATAGGTATATAACACAATGTCATTACTTCTCCATTGTTCATGTCCACTTGTAACCCTGGCCATGGCTGACTGACTTAGGGAACATTTTACTGGAGTGTCTCTCTTAGTATTTTAAACTTGAACAGATACACAGATAGGTGAAGCCATCATGTGACAGTACTCTAGAAAGATCATGCTGCTGAGGACCACAAAACTACCCTGGTTCCCACTGTCAGGCTTAGTTGTTCAAGTCTTCGTTAAATTATATGTTATCCCAGAATTCTTCTAAGTCTCCCTCCCAACCTACCCCTTTTAATTTTGTTTAAATTAGCCCAATTGAGTTACTGTTGATATAATCAAAATTTAAGGGAGAGAAACTGGTATGGGAGAATGTAGCCAGTAATCAAGGAAATATGTAGTATTTTGATAGTTTTATCAAGTTGAGATGGGGTAAAAATAGCCAGAGTTATCTGGTTTTCATGACATCTAGCTTTCAAGCCATTCCTTTTCACCTTTTTATTGGATTTTTATTTTTTTGCCAATTTCTTTAAAAATTTTTCCCCAGATCTTCCTTTCATTTCACACTATACAATCTCCTTAGGAGGAACAGGATGAATAATGATTCCTGAAGACATCAGGTCCTAGATGTAAATGTTACCTTATGCAGAAAAAGGGTCTTTACATATGTGATACAATTAAGTATTTTGAGATGGGGAGATTATCCTGGATTATCTGTTTGGGTCCTAAATGCTGTCACATCTATCCTTTGAAAAGGAAGGAAGAGGAATATTTGACATACATAGATAGAAGATAATGTGAAGATGAAACAGATTTGAAGATGCAGGCCTTGAACATGGGAATAATGCAGACACAAGCCAAGCAATGCTGATAGCCACCAGAAGCTGAGACAAGGAATGAATTCTTTAGAGCCTCCAGAGGAAGTGCAGCCCTGCTGACACCTTGATTACAGTCCAGTGAAACTGATTCCAGGCTTCTGGCCTCCATAACTGTAAGAGAATACACTTCTGTTATTTTAAGCCACCAAGTCTGTGATGTACAGCAGTCACAGGAAACATGTACTAGGGAACTCACCCATACTCTTCAAAATCTATATAGTAAAGACCACCAAATCTGTTATCTCCAGCTCTAATATCTGATGTGCTTGCTTACAGTTGCTTGCTGGTATCTTTATTTGAGTGTCCCATAGTGTCTTAGTCTGTTTTGCATTGCTATACAAGAATACCTGAGACTGGGTCATTTATGAAGAAGAGAGGTTTATTTAGTTCATTGTCCTGCAGGCTGGGAAGTTCAAGAAACATGGTGCTGCCACCTACTCAGCTTATGGTGAGGGCCTCATGCTATTTCCACTCATGGCAAGAAAGCAGAAAGGGAATGAGTGTGTGTAAAGAGATCACATGGTGAGAGAGGAAGCAAAAGAAAACTGAGGAAGCTAGATTCTTTTTAAAAAACCACCTCATTGGCGGGGCGTGGTGGCTCATGTCTGTAATCCTAGCACTCTGGGATGCTGTGGTGGGTGGATCATTTGAGCTCAGGAGTTTGAGACCACCCTGAGCAAGAGCAAGACCCCGTCTCTATTGAGCAGCCTCTGTTCAAAAAAAAAAAAAAAAAAAAAAAAAAAAAAAAAAAAAAAATTAGCCGGGCATGGTGGCACATGCCTATAGTCTCAGCTACTTGGGAGGCTGGGGCAGGAGGATCGCTTGAGCCCAGGAGTTTGAGGTTGCTGTGAGCTAGGCTGACACCATGGCACTCTAGCCTGGGCAACAGTGAGATTCTGTCTCAAATAAATAAATAAACAAACAAGCAAATAAAACCCTACCCCATTACCAAGAGTCCACTGTATCTGACAAATATATACACCCTTCAGCAACACACTCCCAAGGGTGAGTGGCGAGTAAGTTTTCCCACCTAATGGTTCCTATCAATACTCTTTCTAAAACACTTAGCATTTACAAGTCTAAAAACACACTGGCTACTCATCATGCCTGCCATGTAGGCACAGAGACTTTTTCCTTTTTGTTCTGCTATATCTCAGGTGATTGGCAATCTGTAGGTAAGTAAACCTATCCAGAGTTTCTAAAGACCATATCATGACTTATAAATTCTAATGCGTATGGAAGATGAGCAGATGTTACGCATGGCATGAGTAAATTTAGGGCCTGCAATAATTGGGAGAGTACATGCCCCATCTCCAGACTAGTTTCTTTAACTAGTCTCTGTATAACAATCTCCTCAGCATCCTGTTCTACCCTTACAAAAGTGTCCCTTCAAACATGTCACAGTCTTTAGTTCTTTAAGGTAGCTGAATTATGTACAAGGTATAATCCCCAAAGCAAAATTGAATCCCACAATTGACCTCTTTCCAGCAGTAAAAATTTCCTCCTCCAAATTTGGCTTTTGTTGCCGAGATAATGGTCAAATATAGGAAAACTAGAGTTTGCTATGAATTCTTCAGCGCGACTTCTGCAAAAAGCTCACTTCTAAGAAGCTATCCCCTCAATACAAACTATTAATATCTATGTTAGAGACAGAAAAACAAGTGAGAAGTAATGGAAAACAGGAAAACAGAAAGGAGAAAACAGTTAATAGAAAAACAGTAAGGAGGAAATGGTTGCAGAAAAATGAAGAGGGAACAGTTATTTCAGTCTTGAGGAATGGGGTAATTAGGCCACGGAACACCGACCAGTCAGAGAATGGAAATGGAACTTTCCCCACAGTGCATATAACATAACCTTTAACTCATGTCAAAACACAGAAAGGAATTCAGTCCTAATTATTACCTAAACATAAAGCATACAAAAAGAAAAAGAGAAGTAGCCAGCGTCTTCTCCACTCGCAAAGCCAGACTTGTTTCCCCTTAAGAAATGTACTTTCGCTTTGCACCCTTAAACTCTCCTTACAATAAATTCTTCACCCATATTTGCTGAGTGTCTCTCATCTCTTCCCATCACGATTCCTCTAAGCCAGGAGCCCAAGAACTGGGGCAACACTTCAACGTCCAGCCGTGAACTGAGGCGTGACCCCTAGCGATGCGCGAAGTCAGGCTGGGCTTTAGTCCAGACTCGGCGGGAGAGTGGGAACGCGACGCCGGCCGGCTTCAGGCAGAAAGTCAAGCGTTCCTAAGGGGGGCCTCCGAGAGAGCGCCAGCGGCCGGCCTGCCGCCTGGGCGTTGGGGGAGGAGACCCAGAGCCAAGGCACCCCAGGTCAGGGCCTGCCGAGAAGTCGGTCCTAGCGCACCGTTCCTAGCACACTGGCCCGGAGCTGGCGCTGGAACAGAGTGGCGCTGGGAGGAACCCCACTTAGAGGCCGGGAAAAGGCGTACGTAACGGCTGACGCTCTCCACAAGCCAGACGCCGGCGGCGGACCGATTGTCACCGTACGGCCCCGTAAGAGGGGCGGGGCGGAGTCGCCCCTCAGGGCACTCGAGCTGAAAGCCGCTTTCCAGGGCCCAGGCCGGGTGGCGGAAATCAACGCGGAGCGCCGGATGCCCACCGCGTGCGCAGGCGCACTCAGCGATCTCCGGCTTCATTGAGCACCGACTCTCGCGCAGGCCTCGGGGCGGGGCCTCGGGGGGCGGGCCCTCGGGGCGGGGCTAGATGCGCTGGGAAGGTCCGCTTTTCACTCTCGCAGCCGCCACGTCCTCTGGTGTACGAAAGTCATGTTACCCAACACCGGGTAAGTGGATGCGGGTCCCACGGGGAGAGACCCAGCCGGGCCCTGCGTGGCCTGGTGGCACCGCGGCGGCTCGCCGGGGGAGGCTCGGCCGGGGCGGCGGGAGGGTCGGCGAAGCTGCCCGGCGCGCTGCGAGCTCGTGCGCGGTAGACACTGTGTGCGGAGAATCTGCGGTAACGCGGGAAAAGTAACCCAGAGTTGTGTCCTGCAGGGTGGCAGCAGTGTAAAAACCTTCCGCAGGTGGAGGGCCGGGAGCGGGTTACCGCGCTGCTGGCGCTGCTGGCCCTGCTTGAGTTCAGCCACCGCGGTGTGACAAGCCGAAGGCGCGGAAGTTCTAGGTGAAAGGTCACTGGAACAGCTCCCGAACTTAGCGAGCTGCCACTTGTTCCGAGCGCTCAATTCTGGAACAATAAGATAATGAGGTGTTTAAAAAGTGATTTCCAAATTAGTAACAAACTAAACTGATCTTAAAATACGAACATCTTTTGGGGATCTTTTTTTCACCTTAAAAATTAAGTGTGGTGAAGTACGCATAAAATCTGCCATTGTAACCATTTTTAAGTGTACAGTTTAGTAATGTTAAGTATATTCATATCGTTGTGCAGTCTATCTCCAGAACTTTTTCACCTGTAAAACTGAAACTCTGTGTGCATTAAATAACTCGTTACCCATTTCCCCCTTACCCCTCGCCCCTGTCAGCCACCATTGTACTTTCTGTAGAGTATTGGTATCTTGAGCTGAATGAGGAGTTGTCAAATTGTGTAATTTGCCTGAAACATACAGGCAAATAGCCATAAGACATAAAACAATTCAAAAGAGTGTAAGGTAAAAATTGAGCTCCCCCCCACCCTTAAAATCCAGTACCTCAGTTAATTTCTGTTATGTTTTCATTTTATGTATTTATAACATATTTTGTATACCACTCAAACACACACACTTTTGTAAAAAAAATAGTAGCAAACTCTATCTCTATTTTTGACCATGCTACTTTTACTTAATATGTCTTAGGACAGACTTTTTTTTTTTAGAGACTAGGTCTCCCTATGTTGTCCAGGTTGGTCTCTGGCCTCTACTCCTAGGCTCAAATGATCCTCCTCCTTCAACCTCCAGAATAGCTGAGACTACAGCCCACTGCTCCCAGGGAGATAAATGATTAGTACATGTAGATCTTCCTCCTCCTCTTAAATGGTTGCATAATGTTTATTCTGTTACAACTTGAATATCCATTATCTGAAATTCTTGGAACCAGAAGTGGTTTTGGATTTCAGATTTTTAGATTTGAGATGCTCAACCTGTAAATGGATGTACCTTTATTTATTTAACCTGTTCTCTATTGTTGGATGCCAGATTGTTTCTAGTTTGTTGTTGTTACTCTATCTTCTATGATTATACTCATATTTATCTGTTTGCACATTTGTGAGTGTATCTGTAGGATAAGTTCCTGGAAGTGAAATTGCTGGTTCAAAGAGTACATTCACTGTAAATTTTAGTAGATATTGCCAGATGACCCTCCAAAAGGATTGCACACCAAAAAGGTTAAATGAAATTTCCTAACCCAACATGTTGGCCAATAGCAAAATATTTAATAATAAAACTCTAATTAGAGAAAAAAATGGCACCTTACTGTAGTTAAAATTTGCATTTATTTCATCACAAGTGTGAATGAGGATCTTTTTATATATTTAAACCAGGGGATGGCCAGGGGGGGTGGCTCATGCCTATAATCTTTAGCACTCCAAGAGGCTGAGGCGAGAGGATCTCTTGACCTCAGGAGTTTGAGACCAGCCTGAGCAAGAGCAAGAACTAAAAAACTAGAAAAATTAGCTGGGTGTGGTGACATGTGCCTGTAATCCCAGCTACTCCAGAGGCTGAGACAAGGAGGATCGCTTGAGCCCAGGAGTTTGAGATTGCTGTGAACTAGGCTGATGCCACGGCACTCTAGCCAGGTGACAGAGCAAGACTCTTGTCTCAAAAAATAAATAAAATAAAATAAATAAACCAGGGATAATTTGACCTCTAGAGGACATTTGGTAATATCTGAGAACATTTTTGATTGTCACTGTTGAATGGGGATGCTAATGGCATCTAGTGAGTCCAGGGATGCTGGTAAACATCCTGCAATGCAGAGGCAGCCCCCTACAACAAAGAATTATCTAGTCCAAAATGTCAATAGTGTATAGGTTGAGAAACCCTAGTTTAAAGTCATCTGTGTATTTTTTTTTTTTTTTTGAGACAGAGTCTCACTTTGTTGCCCGGGCTAGAGTGAGTGCCGTGGCGTCAGCCTAGCTCACAGCAACCTCAAACTCCTGGGCTCGAGTGATCCTTCTGCCTCAGCCTCCCGGGTAGCTGGGACTACAGGCATGCGCCACCATGCCCGGCTAATTTTTTATATATATATCAGTTGGCCAATTAATTTCTTTCTATTTATAGTAGAGACGGGGTCTCGCTCAGGCTGGTTTTGAACTCCTGACCTTGAGCAATCCGCCCGCCTCGGCCTCCCAAGAGCTAGGATTACAGGCGTGAGCCACAGCGCCCGGCCCATCTGTGTATTTTTTATTTACCTGGCTTAACCAATAAGGTTTTTGATCAATCTCTGAGGGCTCTATATATTTAAAAAATTTGTCCTTTATCATGTGTGTTACAAATATTTTTTATACTTTTTTGTGTTGCATCTTGACTTTGACTATACTATTTGTTTAACATGAAGAAATGTCTTTATGAAGCCAGAGTTATCAATCATTTAAGGCTTAAAAGCCTTTTTTTGTGATAAGCCTAGAAGTCCATCTTAAACTAGGATCTTTTTTTAATTGGTGTTCTTCTAGTATTTTTATGGTCTTATGTTTTTATAAGATATATATTTTTTACCCTCAGATTTTCTTTATTCACCTGAGATTTATTTTGTTGTAGGAAGTGAGTTAGGTAGCCCACTTGATTTTGGTTCAGATGGCTGCCCATTTGTGCCAGCAGCATTGACCTAGTAGTTAACCCTTTCTCTTCTGTTAGAAATTCCACCTCTATCATATGTTAAATTCTTGTATGTATAGAGGTCTATTTCTGGACTCTCTTTTCTGTCACTTTGATCTATTCATGCACCTACCGAACTATTTTAATTGCTCTAGATTTATAAAATGTATTAGTAGCTGGGAAGGGTAGTTCCCACCTCATCTGGATTATTTTTCAGAATTTTCCTTGTTATTCTTGGGTGTTTATTTTTCCAAATGAACTTTAAAATAGTTTGTATAGTTTAAAAAAAATAATTGTTCCTTTTAAAAATAGTTAACAAAAATTTCATCACATGTACCTGATGTTGACTTACTAGGGAATTTTAGTAAATTCAAGTGTAAGTTAGCTCTGCATTAGCCAGTTTTAGCCACCTATCAATAGTACTGAGAAATTTGGAACCTTACTTTGAAGTGCTCTTGCCTTCTATATTCTGGTACTAATGCTTTGGAGCTGGAGGATTTCCTTATAGTAGTACATATCCAGGATACCTTTGTCTTTTTTCCTGGCAATAGCAGAAACTCTGAGTGAGGAAGAAAATGCCCTTTATCCTACTGGGAATCAATCCAACTATACCAAAGGCAAAGGGATAGGGCTTTTTATTTTTTTATTTATTTATTTTTTTTAGAGTGAACAAGTAGACTGGAATTTTTTTTTTTTTTTTTTTTTTTTAGGGTGAACAAGTAGACTGGAAGGGATAGGGCTTTTTAAAGGAGTAGTTGGGACATTTTCTTATAAATACTTATGTTAAAAATCACTTTAACCCTTTGTACTCCTTTGCTTTTTTTCTCGATTCCTTCATTCTACTCGGGATTTAATTTTTTAAATACCCCGGATTTTACAAAGTGCAGCAGTAGAATAAAAAACTGGAGTTTCTTTTCATACAAACTTATTTATTTGGAATTTTTTATATTTCAAATTATTGATACATTCAAAGAGTAATTTTAATCTCTATAATTTTTGCTAACTGTGTCGAGTCATACTCGACATCCGAGTGCAAAGGGTTAATATTCTATGTATACGACTTTTTTGTGTAAAAAAGGGAAAATTATACATACACATAGAGTGTATTTTATATATGTATGTGTGTGTGTGTTTGCATATTTTTGAAAAAAAATACAAAAAGGAAAAACCAGAAATTAATGAAGCTGGTCACCTACAGGTAGGTAAGAGGTCAGACTTCTTTGAGTGTACATTTTTTTTTTTTTGAGACAGAGTCTCACTTTGTTGGCCAGGCTAGAGTAAGTGCCGTGGCGTCAGCCTAGCTCACAGCAACCTCAAACTCCTGGGCTCGAGCGATCCTTCTGCCTCAGCCTCCCGAGTAGCTGGGACTACAGGCATGCACCACCATGCCCGGCTAATTTTTTATATATATCAGTTGGCCAATTAATTTCTTTCTATTTATAGTAGAGACGGGGTCTCACTCTTGCTCAGGCTGGTTTTGAACTCCTGACCTTGAGCAATCCACCTGCCTCAGCCTCCCAGAGAGCTAGGATTACAGGCGTGAGCCACCGCGCCCGGCCTGAGTGTACATTTTTTTAAATTTATTTTTTTATAGACAAGGTCTCACTCTGTTACCCAGGCTGATGTACAGTGGTAGGATCATAGCTCACTGCAGCCTCAAACTCCTGCCTCAGCTGCCCAAGTAGCTGGGACTACAGGTACATGCCACCACGCCTGGCTATTTTTAAAAATTTTTTGTAGAAATGCTGTCTTGCTAAGTTGACCAGGCTGGTCTCAAACTTCTGGCCTCAAGTAATTCTTCCACCTTGGCCTCCCCAAATGCTGGGATTTCAGGTGTGAGCCACTGCACCTGGCCACTGAGTGTACATTTTTATGAAATGTTGACTTTGCACCATGTACGTATTTTATAACATCCCTCACCAAAGATGAGAGGACAGGAAAAATAAAACTGAATGCCAAATGAACTTAACTATGTATTAAACTTATCACATAAATATACAGAGAAAAAGAACTTATTCAAGTAATTTTTAACATAGTAACTTGTACACTTTTAGAGAGACTTGTTCTAAAGACAAAAAAAAGTGCAAAGGAATCCTGAACTTAGTAGATTTATTATTGGTAGTAGTAATAGTGTAGTAATTCAAATACTATTGTGTGTTATAGTATATACCTACTTCTTATTGCTCTGCCTCTTTAACATAAGAACAGATGGGATTCTTTCACTCTTGTCATGGGTGAGAGCATGTTATCAGATCCTAGAAAGTCTTTTTATATTTTTTTTTCCTTTCCTTTCCTTTCCTTTCCTTTCCTTTCCTTTCCTTTCCTTTCCTTTCCTTTCCTTTCCTTTCCCCTTTCTTTTTCCCTTTCTTTTTCCCTTTCTATTCCTTTCCCCTTTCCTTTCCTTTTTTTGAGACAGTCTCTGTCACCGCAGCTAAAATGCACTGGTGTCATACCTCACTGTAACCTCAAACTCCTATGCTTAAGCAGTCTTCCTGGTGGTACAGGCATGTGCCACCAGGCCCAGCTAATTTTTCTATTTTTTTATAGAAATGTGATCTCACTCTTGCTCAGGCTGGTCTTGAACTCCTGACCTCAAGCGATCTTTCCAATTCGGCTTCCCAGTATGCTAGGAGTACAAGCATGAGCCACCGTGCCATGCCCAGCCCTTTTTATAATTCTTTTTTTTTTTTTTTTTTTGCTATACATATATATTTATTATTTTGTTAAAATTTCAATGTTATTTGAGTCAAAGTTATAAGTGTGCCCATATTCCAGATAGTGTGATTATGAATTTATCCATCCCCTCCTCCTGTTATGTATGAATTTACCCATCGCCTCCTCTGCCTCTCACCTGCTTGATTTCTGATGAATGTTATTTTCATATGTGCACATAAGTGTTGTTAGATTAGTTCCAATTTAATGGTCAGTACAGGTGGTGTTTGTTTTTCCATTCTTGTGATACTTCACTTAGAAGAATGGTCTCCAATTTCATCCAGCTTAATACAAGAGGTATTAGTTCACCATTATTTTTAATGGCTGAGTAGTACTCTGTGGTATACATATACCACATTTTATTAATCCACTTATGTATTGATGGGCACTTAGCTTGTTTACACATCTTTGCAATTGTGAATTGTGCTGCTGTAAACATTTTTTATAGAATTTTTTTTCCCATTGGATAAATTCCCAGTGGTGGGATTGCTAGATCAAATGGTAGTTCTACTTTTAGTTCTTTGAGGTATTTCCCTACTACTTTCCATAGAGGTTTTACTAGTTTGCAGTCCCACCAGCATCGTATGAGTGTTACTATAGCAACAAAGAAAATAAAATACTTAGGAATATATTCAACTGAGGAGGTGAAAGACCTCTACAGGGAGAACTACAAAACACTGAGAAAGGAAATAGCAGAAGACATAAACAGATGCAAAAACACACCATGCTCATGGATCTGCAGAAGAAACGTTATTAAAATGTCTGTTTTCATACATTCAGCTCATTTTTGAAATTCTGTTTCACCAGTAGATACATACCCTAAAAAAACTATTAAACATGTGACTGGAAAACGTACACTAGAATATTTATAACAGCATTGTTCATAATAGAAAACAAACAACAAAAAACTGAGAACTGCTCTAAAAGTCCATAAACAGTAGAATGAATAAATATAATATGTTCCTAAGTGGAATATTATATACTGGTGAAAATAAAATAAGTGTAGCTACTTGCACTAACATGGATATATCTCCTGTGTGAAAGAAATGAATCATAGAGTAACAAATACTGTATCTATTATATAAAGTTCAAAATAGGCAAAACTAAACAATGTGTGTGGTTAGGCAGCATTTTTCTGTAAAGGGCCAGATAATAAATATTTCAGGCTTTATAGGCCAAGAGGTAAAATTGGAGATATTATGTAGGTACTTATATAACTAGAGAAAACCAATTTCCACAATATTTTTTATTGTTGAAATTAAAAGTAATTTGAGTACAATTTTTTATGATATGGGTCTACTAATGAGAGGAATGGACTCTATTTTTGGAGGGGAGGTGATAGTATAGTAGTTTCCTAGGGCTGCTGTAACAAAGTATCACGAGCTAGGTAGTTTAAAACAGAAATTGATTCTCACAATTCAGGAAGCTAGATCCTGAAATTCTGGGTAGAATCTTCCCTTGCTTCCTCCTTGCTTCTGCTGGTGGCCAGCAATTCTTGGCATCCCTTGGCTTGCAGCTGCATCCCCTTCAATCTCTGCCTGTCATTGCATGGAATTCTCCCCATGTGGCTGACTTCACACAATCTCCCTCTGGTAAGGACAATAGTCAGATTGGATTAGGCACCCACCCTACTCTTAATTACTTAAGAGTAATTAAGTAATTACATCTGCAACATCCTATTTCCAAATTAAGATCACATTCTGAGGTACTAAAGGTTAGGACTTGCACATATATTCTGGGGGACACAATTCAATCACTAACAGGGAGATAATGTTTCCCCTAATTAGTGTTCGAAATTAGCATTCCCTATCATCAAACTGATCTCAAATGTTCATCTGTAGGGCCATACACAAACAAAAACGTGGTGGGTCCTATTTGGCCTGTGGACCGTAGTTTTTTGACCCCTGATTTAGACAAAGAGACACAAATATTAGGAATAATAAAACAAGGGTATGAGTAATAATATTTAAAGTAGTTTTTCTAGGTATGACTTTGCCTCAAAAAAAAAAATAGATAAAATAAAGTAGTTTTTACTTTGTCGGTGGGGAAAGGAATCAGAGAGAAATAGACAGGTGGCTTCTCAGGTATTCGTAATGTTCTATTTCTGGGCTCAGGTAATGAGTACACTACTGTTTGTTTTAATGTTGTTCCTTAAACCGAACATATTCATTTTACATTCTTTTTGTATTTTTGCTATATTTTACCAAAAACAGTTCCCACCTCTCTGTCACCTTCCCACGTCACCACTCTTCTTCCTTCATACCAAACCAGTTATTCCTTATTTTTTTTTCCTCCTTTTATTTCATTATATTATGGGGGTACAAATATTGTTGGGGTTACATATATTGCCCCTGCCACCCCTCTTCCCCTCTGTGCCAGTGCTTCAAGCGTGTCCAACCCCCAGTTGGTGCACACCACACCCATTATGTAAGTATGTAAGCATACCCTCTTCCTCTCCTCCCCCCTCCTATTCTTTATTTTAAATCCACTTCTTCCACTTTCCCCTCTGATCTTACTTCTGGAATATAGTCTTCTGAGTCTTATGTTCTTTTTTTTTTTTTGAGACAGAGTCTCGCTTTGTTGCCCAGGCTAGAGTGAGTGCCATGGCGTCAGCCTAGCTCACAGCAACCTCAAACTCCTGGGCTCGAGTGATCCTTCTGCCTCAGCCTCCCGGGTAGCTGGGACTACAGGCATGCGCCACCATGCCCGGCTAATTTTATATATATATATCAGTTGGCCAATTAATTTCTTTCTATTTATAGTAGAGACGGGGTCTCACTCTTGCTCAGGCTGGTTTTGAACTCCTGACCTTGAGCGATCCGCCCGCCTCCGCCTCCCAAGAGCTAGGATTACAGGCGTGAGCCACAGCGCCCTGCCTCTTATGTTCTTTTGTTAACAAGCCTGCTTATCTATTACCACTGTCTCCGGTCACTGTCCCTTTTCTCTATGTCATTGTCACTTTTGCTGTCCTCTCTTCATCCTTCTCCTTTTTATTACCTTTATAAGGTAAACAGGAAAGTGGGTTTCCCTCACTATAATCTTACTTTTAGATGTTTCCTTCTCATCTAACAACTGAATAAGGAGAAAATTTAAAGTTAAGATGGAGGGACATAAAGAATGAAATGGGCACAGGGAACTAATCAGTATCTTTGAATCAGAGAATGTTTTGGATCCACCCTCAGCTCGAGAGCCTTCTAGGTTTGTTTGTTTAACATCTCTACTGAGATACAGTTCACACACTACACAATTCACACATTTAAAACACACAACTAAGTGGCTGTCAGTATATTCACAGAGTTGTACAACCATCATCACAGTCAATTTTAAAACTTTTTCATCATCTCCCAAAGAAACCCCTGATCCCTCAGTTGTCAGCCCCGAACTCCTCCCATTCCCTTATCTAGGCAACCACTAATTTTTGTTGTGTTTCTGTAGCATATTCTGGGCATTTCATATAAATGGAATTATACAATATGTGGTCTTTTGTGACTGGCTTCTTTCACTTAGCAAAATGTTTTTGATTCATCCATATTGTAGCACATATCAGTACTTTGTTGCTTTTTATTGCTGAACATTATTTCACCGTGTGGCTATACCACATTCTATTTATCTATTCATCAGTTGATGGAAATTTGGGTTGTTTCCACCCTGGCTATTATGAGCATCCATTGAACAGTTATTTGTTTTTAGATCATTTCTTTTAAGTGGTAGATAGTCATTGTAAAAAATTTGAAAAATATTAAAAAATATAAAATTTATGCATAATCCCACCACTCAAAAATAAGCCTTGTTTATACTTTTTCTTTGGGGAAAAATACATGTTTATGTAGTTTAGTTTATAAGTCCTCCTTTCTCTTTAAGATTTACTTTGCATTTGAACAGATTTTGTTTGCCAAATCACGGCAAGACTAGCCAACTGCAGTTGTCATAAATAATTTATAAGTCACTGTGCAATGAGAGTACAATGGAGTTATCAGCCATCAGATGGGCAAGGGGTGGGTTTAGAGAAAATTTCACAGAGAAGGAAATATGTATATTATGAAAATATGCATGTGCTACTGATACTGGTTAGTAAATAAAATATTGAGGTTTCTAACAGGGTCATGTTTGTTCTGTTGTAGGAAGCTAGCAGGATGCACAGTTTTTATCACAGGTGCCAGCCGTGGCATTGGCAAAGCCATTGCACTGAAAGCAGCAAAGGATGGAGCAAATATTGTCATTGCTGCGAAGACCACCCATGCACATCCAAAACTTCCAGGCACAATCTATACTGCTGCTGAAGAAAGTGAGTGTGATAATGCTCATTGAAACGTCCTCACTGTGGCTTCAATACATAGAGAATTTGAGAGTTTAGTTAAAGCTATTTGAAAGCCTCCCTAAAAATAATTTTATCTAGCTAAAGATGTAACTGTTTTGCAACTGTAGAGCAGTGCTTCTGACCATTTTTCTCTTCTAGCACTTTTAAGTATTTGAGAGACAACAGTACAAAATCATGTCTCATGAGGGTAGTGGTTCTTGGATGGGAGGGAGATACAGGGGAGTGGAACTAGAGAGGAGAGAATTTAGGTGGACAGTGTTAACACTTTGAAAAAAATTTCCATGTTATTTATTCTCTGCACAATTTGAAAGTCATTATTTTAATACTTTTAGTTGACAAATAATTATCATGTGCTTATATTCAAGACATTGTGCTAGGCACAGTGCCAGGAGGCTTAAAAACTCAACTTCAGTTGATATCGCAAGTTTTGTTAGTCATTAATAGCATTGTGGTTATGTTAGAGGAATGTGTATGAAGTACTTATGAGTGAAATAATGCCGGGAATTTGTTTTAAAATACACCAGCACAAACCAAAATGGGGAGAGGGAAGATAAACAAATTAAACAACTGGCAAAACAGTAATAGTCATTGAAGATAGGTGATGGATTCTTGATAGTTTATTATACTATTCTTTATATTTTTGTGTACTTCTTGAAATTTTCTATAATAGCTAGTCTGTCCTATTATATGGTAGAGTCACTAGTGGTAAGACAGCGTTATTTATGTTGATTTTTCTGGAAATAGGGAACTTTTTTTCTTTTGACTGTTATATCAGAATGAAAGGTATTATATTTGAATGCTTTAATGCTCTTTTGTTTATCGTTTGTAGTTGAAGCAGTTGGAGGAAAGGCCTTGCCATGTGTTGTTGATGTGAGAGATGAACAGCAGATCAATGATGCAGTCGATAAAGCAGTCAAGAAGTTTGGAGGTAGTACCTTAATTTGGAAATAATTATTGAATATTGGTAAAATATATGTATATCTATAATTTTAATTTGTTTTGATTTTTGGATTTTCTGAGTCTTTGTAGTATATCCAGAGACAAGTATTTCCTCATATAGAAATATGGCTTAAAACCATCTGATGACTTAAAAAATTGTTAAAAATTATTTTGAATGATGTAACAAACCTACCACCCAAAATAAAGTTAGGACCTTGACAAACATACACCTAACCAAGTGGTTCCCCAGATCCCATCCAATCACTGCAACATTGAGGTTTGTAGTAGAGAAAGGATTTATTCACAAGGCAGTCAAGTGAGGAGACAGGAGAGTAAGTCTCAAATTCACCTCTCTGTAACAGCCTTAAGAGAGAGATTTTGGGAGGAGGGTTTTAGAATCAGCGAGTGAGTGATGGAGGGAAAGGGGAAGTTTGGAAAGTTCCTCAGGCATGCATAGTTGTCTGTGTATGTTTCTTCATGGGTCGAATGTGTAAATTCAGGGGAATTTGGTATAAAACATGCCATGGAAATTAGGGCTGTGATGTCAAAAGGTCACCCATCAGATACTCATGTACACTAAGTTGAAGGGTAGGTGGTCTCAACCAGTTTGACCTGACTTTAGGACTGGGTCTTGAGATCCTGAAAACAACTTAGCCAACATCTTGTGATCTGTATGTCAGAGTAAGATGTTATTTCTAAGAACATTGTAGGAACATTAAGCTATGTGATGTTTTAAGAGTAAGCAGTTTGGCTAACAATGAGTAAGCAAACAGGTAAATGTTATAGTTAATAACGGCCTAGAGAAGCTTTAGTTACTTGCTACCTAATTACTAATGGCCATCTGTCCACCAGTTTCATAAAAATTATTTGATGACTTTTTGATATTTATTGGGCAAAGTAAAGATACCTATTGGCATTCATGATACTTTACACTGTGAACTCAATAGACTTTTTTTGGTTCCAGGTTTCTTTAATACCCCTTTGTAAACTCCCTACTCTAGCCAAAATAGTTAACTTCCATCTTCTTGAATTTTTTGCCTTTTAACTTTTTCTCTTCCCCTTCCTGAGACCTCTTCAGTGCCCACCCTCCACCTTCATTTTTCTTTTTTGAAACAGAGTCTCACTGTGTTGCCTGGGCTAGAGTGCCGTGGCATTAGCCTAGCTCACAGCAACCTCACACTCCTGGGCTCAAGCAATCCTTCTGCCTCAGCCTCCTGAGCAGCTGGGACTACAGGCACGTGCCACCATGCCTGGCTAATTTTTTCTATGTATATATTTTTAGTTGTCCAATTAATTTCTTTCTATCTTTAGTAGAGACGGAGTCTCGCTCAGGCTGGTCACCTCCATTTTCTTAACATGCGCCCTTCTCTATCTTTAAAATCCTACCTTTACATACTTAAATCTCATCTCCTTCAGAAATCCAGTTTCCTCAGCATGCCAACTACCGTGTTTCCCCAAAAATAAGACAGGGTCTTATATTTATTTTTCCTCAAGAAGACACCCTAGGGCTTATTTTCAGAGGATGTGTTATTGTTTTTAAATATGGTACAATAATCTACATTTATTCAAATATAGTTAAGTCATCTTATTCTGGAACATCATCATCACTCTCCAAACCCTGAATTCCATCCTAAATTTCTTGCCACTCTATCTCCTTTAGAACCATTGGCCCCAATCTCTCCTGTCGAGCAATAGAGCTCTCATGGGGCAGATGAGAAGGGCTGCTCGTCTTCTTTACCACTCCGAGATGAAATGCATGGTTGTGCAGATATGCTGTGTAGCCACGCCCATCACTAGGTCTTATTTTCAGGGTAGGGCTTATATTGCACAAATGCTTAGAAATCCTGCTAGGGCTTATTTTATAGATAGGTCTTATTTTGGGGGAAACATGGTAATCAGAAGTGTATTTTTCTTTCTCTGAATTCCTAAGACATTCCTTTGATCCTTATCTTATACCACTTTAGATCTTAGGATTTCTTTTTTCTCCCCAATTAGTTCATAAGATCCTAGAAGGTAGTTGTTTGGGATCGAGCTAAAACTTTAATGGCATTGTAGCAGGGCACCTAAGTATGTCCAAATCCTGCCTAAACCATTCTTACTCTCCCCCTGTAAAGTTCCGGAGGACTATATGTAGTGTACATGTGGGGGATGTTGACCAATGGAAAACAAGGTAATACTTCAGTGTTATCAAGGCTGTGCTTATAATCCCAGTGCAGAGTGCTGTGGGGTACTGAACTGAAGCACAGAGTTTTGGCTCAAGTGGGGCCTCTTCCTTTAATTTCAAAATTTTACTCCTAGCTACTTTCCCAAAGTAATGTGAGCACTCATGTGAGAAGAGGAGAGAAAATGCAAAATTATGCTTTACCTTGCTGAGAGGGTCCCAAATGTGGAAAAGAAAAGAGAGGAAGTCAAATGCAGGACCTTTGTTCTAAAATGACTTCACTTACTAGTAAAAGTAGCCACTTAGTGCCACTTAAGATTTGACCTAATTAGTTTGTCCATGAATTTTTAGGGAGGAATTAAGGGGAGAAGATAGAAGGGGTAGGTGAAACTTGTTCCCTGTATTCGTCCAGTTTTAGTTCTTTCTGTTGATCCACTGTGTCTGTCAGCTGAGGGTAAGTTTATCCTCCTTAGGGAATGAGATCATCAGAATATAGTAGAGGGCTGTGGCCATCTTGTCAGGGTCCTTTCTCAATCTTTATTTTGGTCCTATAATTCTACTAGAGAATTCCAGCAGTTCAGCTGTTGTCTGATATTGGCCCAAGAAACCTCTAAAATTGATTAGGAGAGGACATTAGTTAGAGGTATGCAAGGACATACTATACAGGCCCAGAATTCACCCCCTATTTAACTTCCCATCTTGAATTCTAGCTGTGTTGTCCAACCTGGTTCACCAGAAAGAGTTACACGTTATGTACAACATGATAGCACAGCCAAATAGATGCCTGAATGTCAAAATGTGAAGTGCCTCTAAATTACCAGTATTGGCTCCTACGGAGCAATAGAAGTTTCACAAATTAATTTCTTCTTCTTTTGTTGAAACTGAGTTTACTGAAAACTTAAAGACTCAATAGAAATCTCTTTTTTCTTGGAAAAATTAAAGCCCAGAAATCTCTCCATTCCAATTTTCTTATTCTACTTGGTCCCAGCCAATGAGTTGTCATTTATATGCCTGGGTAATCTGTATTTATTTTTCATCCACTGTGACTTCAGACATCTTCCATTGACCTGGTATCATTCCCTCAGCATCTTCAACGTTGGATTAATCCAGATTTGCCTGTGGTATGATCTGCTTTCCCAGAAGTAGTCAGGGAAAATGGAAGGGACAAAAGGAAATCTTCATTTTTGTTTCTTTACATGTCAGTTGATCCATGTCATTGATCTGACATTCATGACCCAGGAACTTAAATTCAGTTGGTAAAAATCTTCAGTTAAGGGCATATGATTCCCATATCTTTGGGGGGAAAAAAAATCTCTCTATATATATAGTTACCTGTTGTTGAGAGAGGCATCTAAAACACTCCTATCTTCTTGCTAAATTTATAAATTGGCACTGGAATTACTTTGAGGGTTTCCTTCCACCCTCTTTAATATCCACTTTGATGTATTATTAAAAATTTTTTTGCTTTTCATTTCCCCATTAGCTTCTACTTTTCTGGCACTCCAGTACAGACTTAAGAGTTCTGTTCAGCAACTCAGTCCCTATTCTCTCCTAATCATGATGGATGCCACTGTTATAAGAGACAATTTATAGCCTGCTCTTTTTATTTGTTTCTTTGTTTTCCATACTCTTTTTTTCATGGAGATTCAAGCCTTAATTTTATTTATTTATTTTTGTCTGTCAGGTAAATTTCCAAAGAAAAACCTTTATTTTTTTTGTTTGGTTTTAGATCTATACTGTAGTTGATGCTACTGTGGCCTTCTGATTTAGAATCTTGTAGGTTTTTGAATTCTCCCTTTTAGGGAAGACTTTATCTTCGTCCTGATTTTTTTTTTTTTTTTTTGACAAAGTCTTGCTCTGTTATCCCAGCTAGAGTGCAGTGAGGCCATCATAGCTCACAGCAACCTCAAACTCCTGGACTCAAGCAATCCTGCCTTAGCCTCCTGAGTAGATGGGACTACAGGCGTGCACTACCACACCTGATGAATTTTTCTATTTTTAGTAGAGATGGGGTCTTGCTCTAGCCCAGGCTGGTCTCAAACTCCTGAGCTCAAACAATCCTCCCTCCTCTGCCTCTCAGAGTGCTAGGATTACAGGTATGAGCCACTGTACCCAGCCTGTCCTGATATTTGTCTCTGCTGGAGAATTGTCCTTAATAAAGTTCTGATCAGTTGAAGACATTTTCAAACCTGTGCTCTTAGGGTTCTTTGTTGCATAGTACTCTCTATCACCTTATCTTCCTTCACCTTCAGTTTTTTTCAGGCCTTGAATAAATGATGCTATTTCATAAAGCAGAGAAACATTCTTTCCTTCTACCTTTTTTTCCCCTTCAACAGGCACATATATGCTTTTGTGTATCATTTCCCACTATTGTTTCCTGATCCATTGTAATCTGGCTCATCTGAGTTTAGAAATTTTAACCGGTCTCTTATATTGGGCCCTTTCCCCCCCCTCTATCATGGCTAAGTGAAATGCAGTTTGCCAAATGAGCATATCTGCGTTCCTCATCTGATTTCTTTGCTTTCAGGCTCAGATATTTGCTTTGTTAAGATACTTGTCACTTGTTATCCCAAAATGAGAGAGATGAAGTCAGTAAATTCTGGCTTTGCCCAAGGCATCCATTGATTGGAACAGTCCTCACTAGCTTCATCTCCCTAAGTAGGGTGATTTTACATGGGTGGTATATATACCCATCAGTCCAGCATCTCTCCAGACCTACACTCAATTTGCTCTGTTCCTACCTGGCTTCTCCTTTAGTGAATATCATCTTCCTGTCTCTTAGGCCCTAGAAGAGTGCCTTGTGTAGAGTAGCCACTCAGTGATTATCTCATGGTGATATGGTTGAGCAGCTCTCAGCTTTGTGGACTGAGAAGCATGTCTTGGATTTAAAAATTCTTTTCATAGGTCTTTGCCACTTATGAAGGCAACCATCATTATGATGTTCATTCTGGAAAGCTCATAGTCACAGGACCTGGAACTTAGATACACAGATGATTTACTTAAGTTTGAGTTGTGTTATTTGGAGCTATAAAATGCAATGTAGTTGAATCTAGAGTTATTCTAAGGATACATTTTGAGAAAACATTAACAATACAAACTCTATACAAAGGATATGGGAATTAAGAAATGAAGATGTGATCAAAATTTTATAATGTTACCATCTATTAAGGAAGGGTGCTTATGACTGAAATATTTTAGTGAATTTAATAAGCTTATTTAAATCATTACCCTCATATTTTAAAAGAGAGGGATAGAAAAGGGTAATAAAAAATGTTCGTTGCAACAGTCCAACCCAGGGATCCTCAAACTTTTTAAACAGAGGACCAGTTCACTGTCCCTCAGACTGTTGGAGGCCCGGACTATAGTTTAAAAAAAAATTATGAACAAATTCCTATGCACACTGCACATATCTTATTTTGAAGTGAAAAAACAAAATGGGCAAAAACATCTGCATGTGGCCCGCGGGCCATAGTTTGAAGACACCTGGTCCAATCCCAGAAGCAGAAATTGTGACATTTCTACTTGATGGAATAAGTGCCCTTTTTTTTTTACATTTATTTTTTAATTTTTAAAAATTATGGCAAAATATTAATATTACAATTTGCCATTATAACCATTTTCAGTGTACAGTTTAGTGGCATTAAGTTCATTTATATTGTCGTAGAACCATCTTTAAATACCCTTTTAAAAGAATATTGAAGACCATGTAGAAACAAGGGAAATCTTTGACATAGTTTTGTATTTTACCATTTTCATTTAATGTTACTAATATTTCACAAAGCATATAATTGTAAACAAAATATGTTGTATATGGATAGGAACTGGGTAGAAGATGCAGAAATAATAGTTATTCTAGATGTATGTGTGTGTATATGTGTATGAGTCATTGAAACAAAATTGATCCACTTTGATGATTTACCTCTAGGACGTTGAAACTCTTGGTCTTTTTCTTTTCCCAGTTCCTAAGACCAGAAAGGAGCTCTTCCCTTGAAGTGAGGAGTCTTAGGGGAAAGGGAGGCTAGTATGCTTAGAAGTGGGTCAGGCCTTCAGAACATGCTAGAGGAGAGAAGGATTTAAGGAATTTGACCTAAGGTTTCATGGAGACAGGGAGGAAAGACCGGGAAGTAAGAAAACAGGTAAGAGTGGAAGCTACAAACCACTAAGGACTAAGCCTCCTTATAGCCTCACTTGGAGCTCTGGAGATTGGCTGTATCTCCATTGTGCCAGTGAAAATCATGCAGGTGCTGTTTTGATACAGCTATCAGTCTTACACTGCTATATTGGTCAGTCATATCATCTAAAAGAAGTGGAGTCATGTGTTGCTTAATGACAAGGATACGTTCTTAGAAATCCATCATTGGACAATTTTATCTTTGTGTAGACACTGTGGAGCGTACTCATACAAACCTAGATGGTCTAGCCTACTACACACCTAGGCTATATGAGATACTTTATTGCTAGGCTGTGAACCCATGCAACATGTTACTGTACTGAATACTGTAGGCATTTGTAACACAGTGCCTACGATGGTAAGTATTTGTGTATCTGAACATATCTAAACATAGAAAAGGCACAGTAAAATAACCTGATGGGACTGCCTTTACATATGTAGTCTGTCATTCACTGAAATGTCATTACATGATGCATGATTGTATTTGTGAATCAACTGAGGTTGTCAAATGTATTGGGTAAATGCTTTTTAATTTTGTGACAAAAAGTCTGACATATTAAAATGAAATTGATTATTTTGTAAACAGGAATTGATATTTTGGTGAATAATGCCAGTGCTATTAGCTTAACCAACACATTGGAAACATCTACAAAGAGAGTGGATTTGATGATGAATGTGAACACCAGAGGCACCTATCTTACGTAAGTGAGAAAAAAGAGTTGTATGGGAGGATAGTGCACTGCTTTCCCGGAGAACTTAACAGTAAACAGATTTGAACTAAATTAATAGTATAGTTTAAAATCTAGTCAATCCTTATAGGGACCTAAAAGTATTTCAAAGTCAGTAGACAGTATTTCAAATAATTTTATTATGTGTTCCTTTTCTCTATTAATCTGATAAAAACTAAAGTATAGCTCAAACATTCTCAAATATTTGTGTGTATAAATACTTATATATATACTGTGTCTTTCATATGCTTTTGATTACTCAAGCTAGCAATAGTCTCTCATTTTTCTAAAAAAAAAAAGAAAAAAAAGACTTGGGCCAGGTACAGTGGCTCACGCATGTAATCCCAGCACTTTGGGAAGTGGAGGCAAGAGGATCACTTGAACCCAGGAGTTCAAGACCAGCCTGGGCAACATAACGAGTTCCCATCTCTACAAAATTTTTTAAAAAGTTAGCTGGCATGGTAGTACCTACTTGTAGTCCCAGCTACTTGGGAGGCTGAGGCAGGAGGATCTCTTGAGCCCAGGAGTTTGAGGTTGCAGTGAGCTATCATGATGCCACCACATTCTATCCCAGGAAATAGAGCAAGATCCTCTCTCAAAAAAAGAAAAAAAAAATACTTATGTTTTAGTATATAAATAACAGTAAGCTCATTGTGAATCACACTTTACTGTAACCAAGAAAAAAGCTAATGCTATCTTGGGCATTATAGAATGAAAGAGAATATAATTCTGATCTGTTCTAGATTAGCCAGACAATCCACCTTTTTATTTGTCCATTTATTTGTTTCTTTGTTTTAAATTTTAAATTTTTTTTTCTTGAGACAGAGTCTGGCTGTGTTGCCCCAGCTGGAGTGCAGTAACATCTTTCATTCTATATTCTACATTGCCCCTGATGATGCCCAAGATAGCCTTATCCTTTCTGTTGGTTACATTAAAGTGTGATTCATAATGAGTTTTCTGTTACTTACATACTCAAACCTAAGTTCTTTTTTTTTTCTTTTTTGAGACAGAGTCTTCATCTATAGCCCAAGGTAGAGTGCAATGGCATCATCATAGCTCACTGCAACTTCAGACTCCTGGTGCAAGAGGTACTTCTGCCCTGGCCTGAGTACCTGGGACTAGAGGCGTATACTACCACACCCAGCTAATTTTTTAATTTATTTTTATTTATTTTATTTTTATTTTTTTGAGACAGAGTCTCACTTTATTGCCCAGGCTAGAGTGAGTGCCATGGCATCAGCCTAGCTCACAGCAACCTCAAACTCCTGGGCTCAAGTGATCCTACTACCTCAGCCTCTGTGAGTAGCTGGGGCTACAGGCATGCACTACCATGCCTGGCTAATTTTTTCTATATATATTAGTTGGCCAATTAATTTCTTTCTATTTATAGTAGAGATGGGGTCTCGCTTTTGCTCAGGCTGGTTTCAAACTCCTGACCTCTAGCAATCCGCCTGCCTCGGCCTCCCAGAGTGCTAGGATTACAGGTGTGAGCCACCGTGCCCAACCCCAGCTAATTTTTTAAATTTTTTGTAGCGACAACGTCTCACTGTTATCCAGGCTGGTCTTGAACTCTTAGGTTCAAGTGACCCTTCCACCTCCACCTCCCAAAGAGCTAGGGTTATAGGCTTGAGCCACTGTGACTGCCCTTATTTATTTATTTATCCTCAGGTTCTATCATTTTCCATGTGGATATAAGAATACATTGGTGGAGAGCTAGCTTCCTTGCCTTACATGTATCTTGTTATACACAGAACAGGTGGTTAGGAGCTTAAGCATTGAAGTAAGACTGTCTGGATTCAAATCCTAACACCCACCCCTCATAACTTGCTATTTTGTGACGTTGGGCAAGTAAACCCTCTTGCATATTCGATTTCCTCATTCTTATAATGGCTAAAATAAAGAAATATGTTATAGGTTTGGCCGTGAAGGTTAAATGTATAAGTTGTTAAGTTAGAGTCCTGAATTTTGCCCTCAGATATGTTTTGTTGGAACTGCAAAACTTGGCCTAGACAGTGTTAAAAAATTTGTTTTCATTAGTTACCTACATTTGAGAGTTCATTAGTTGCCTTTGTTGAAAAATAGAAGATTTACAGAAAACTCCAGATTTCCAGCTTTTCTTGAAATGCTGGAAAATCTGGCCACATATAGGCAGGATTCCCATATGGCAACACTTGGCTGCTCTAGCTGAGTGCCAGAGTGTCAGCTGCCTTATGTGATGGGGCATGAGATGTCTTGTCTTCTGGATGCTGAGGACTGAAAAGTTACCATTTATTCGTTGTGCTTGCACTGTTGTTTTTCTTATATGAAAGAGGAAAGTAAAATATTTCCCATAATTATGTCTCTATCTGAAGTGGGAAAATGAGACTTTTGCCAAGAGGGCCGTATGTTCAAGTAAAATGGGTGAGAGCTTACTTTGTAGATATGAGGCATATTTCTACAAATTCAATATGTGAGGTATGTCTCTACTGAATGAAACCATATTGAGTCAAACCATACTGAGAATTATAGTAAACATGTAGAAAAGATCGTGATGAAAAACTTAACTAGAAAAAGGACTCATTTTTCAATAGGGTCTATATTTATTTTCAAATAAAATAGGCAGTGCTGCTGTGAAACTGTTGTGTGTTACATGAAAAAATTATCAGGGCATCAAAATCTTTTGCAGCTGGAAACTTTGTGAAAGAATTTCAATTAAATACAAACACTTTGTTTAAATGAGTGTTTTAAAATATAAACCTAACCGGGAATACTTCCACTCAGCATGCTGATTAAAGCTTAGAAGGGCACGTTGTATGAGTAAGTTTAATGATTTGTGGCAGTTTCTATTATAGATATTGAAGCCACAGATATAAATATACAGGTTAAGTATCCCTAATCTGAAAATCTGAAATGCTCCAGGATGTGAAACTTTTTGAGTGCCAATATGATGAACTCAACAGTGCTCCTGTGAGCATTTGGATTTTGGATTTTCAGATGAGGAATGCTGAACTGGTAAGTTATAATATAACGTGAATATCTCAAAATCTGAAATCTGAAACACTTCTTGTCCCAAGCATTTCATAACGCAACCCTGGTTAAGGGTTACTCAACTGTACCATGAACCTGGTTAAATTTATTTATGGTATCAAGAGAATTTTGATGTGATTAAAAAGTGTTTAGACTGGGTACCCATGACATGAATGTCAGGAAATGACTTGTTAGATATTGAGAAATATCTTTGAAAGTTTATGGTAGATTTGTCAAAGTTATTAATCATAACTATAGACAGTGCTACTATAGTGTTAACTTTAGACTTATTAAAATCTAAACTAATGTAGATATGTTTTGCAAAGGTGAAGAAATTAAATTTGTTCATTGTATTGTTTACTAGGAATTGCTCTCTGCTAAAAAAGTTAAAAATGGACATATTATCTTTCCGGGAGATGATTAATACAAGTAAAGTTATTTAATTGTATGTAGATTTGTCAAAATTAGTAATCATGACTATAGACTCAGCTGTTTTAGCTGATATTATGACTTATATATGCACAAATGGGTGATTCCCTTTACTCTTTCCTTGTGAAATTACGTCTTTGGAAAGCCATATGGCAAGAGCAGTCTGGTCCACTTTCCTATATTGAGGTCATTTTCCAAAAATGATATGATGGCCTAAACCACACTTCTGTATTTGAGGGTTCAATTAAAAACAAAACAAAACCCAAAAACCCTGATTTCAAACTATAGGAAAATGAACTAACCTTGTTCCATTACCTTTCTCAATGAATACTATTAGTATAGTTGAAGAACTACAAACAGAAGTTATAAGCTGTTAGACACTAAAGTGCTAAAAACTAAATGTGAATAGGTTAGAACAGGCATCCTCAAACTACAGCCCGCGGGCCACATGCAGGTGTTTTTGCCTGTTTTTTTACTTCAAAATAAGATATGTGCCGTGTGCATAGGAATTTGTTCATAGTTCTTTTTAAACTACAGTCCGGCCCTCCAACAGTGTGAGGGACAGTGAACTGGTCCCCTCTTTAAAAAGTCTGAGGACCCCTGGGTTAGAATAACAGCTCTACAAGTATCTGAGAAGTAGATGCCCTAAAAATAAAAACCCTTGCACAAAGATTCTATTCACTGTTGAAAATTCCTACCTTTATGAACAGCTAATCTTTAAAAAATAATACTAAATAAATTTAAATCTTGCTCCCAGTTAAAGTTGTATTGCAGAGCTAGGTGAGCCTAACATTGACCTTTGGGTCAAAGAAAAATGTCAGGTTTTTGGTCTTCTATGAAAGCTGTTATAAAATTAAAATTCATAATGAAATATTTCTATTTTATTTGTATTTTTCAATTTTAATTTAGTATATACTCTTCAGTATTATATGTGTTTGTATCATGCTAAATACTGATAGAGGTTTGGTAATAAAGTTCAATTGTATTTCTGAATAGTTGATTTTTCTTCTTGCCAGCTTGCTTTATTCATTTACTCAAATGCCCTATAGGCCTTTGAGTTTGCAACCCTGACTAAGTAAAATAATTCATGAAAAGTAATAAATACAGTGCCTGGCACACAGTAAGTTTTTAATAAACTTAACTATTTTATTAAGCTGCAGGGTTAGTATGCCTATATAAGATTTAGGCAGGGCATGTTGCCATGACAGGTTCATCTGTTGTAAGATTAGCAGTGTTGAGGGCCAGGCTGACAAGGTGCAGATGGAAAGGTTTTGTCTAATAGATGAAAGGAAAGCTCATGTTTATAATGTAAATGAAATGAGCCTTTTCCTTTGGTTGTAAAATATGGTGTTATTTCCTGGACTAGATTTAGTTTGTTTGTTACTGATGCTTTGAGGTTCAGGTTGACTGTTTTAATGAGAATCAGCTGTAATATTGTTTGCCCCTTTCTACTTCACCCCCATAAAATGAAGCACCTTTGGAAATGAAAAACAATATGTACAAAAAACCTTTTAGTGATATTTACTGTATTTGGTTTATAAGTTTGAAACGATGTTGCAGTTGGTAGCACCAGTGTTGTACATTTGGTAATAAAAAAAAACTGATTTGAAATAAGAATGGACTAGTTCGAAGTGTTAGAAGTCATTGAAAGTGAAATAAAGCTAAAATAAAGCTATAAATCATTTAAAGTATGTTATTTAGCTAATGACATATTATAACTTAATAATTAAATTTTTTTAAATATTAGACCTAAATCTTTTTTTTTTTTTGAGACAGAGTCTTGCTTTGTTGCCCAGGCTAGAGTGAGTGCTGTGGTATCAGCCTAGCTCACAGCAAGCTCAAACTCCTGGGTTCAAGCAATCCTACTGCCTCAGCCTCCCAAGTAGCTGGGGCTATAGGTATGCGCTACCATGCCTGGCTAATTTTTTCTATATATATTAGTTGGCCAATTAATTTCTTTCTATTTATAGTAGAGACGGGGTCTCGCTGTTGCTCAGGCTGGTTTTGAACTCCTGACCTCAAGCAATCCACCCGCCTCAGCCTCCCAGAGTGCTAGGATTACAGGCGTGAGCCACCGTGCCCGGCCTTAGACCTGAATCTTTTATAAAATAAATTACTTTTATGAGTTACTTTTTAAAAGTAAAACTATATATTGCTCAAAGGCATGTTGCAGTTTATATTGGTACAAATTAAATTTGGAAATGTATTGGGAGTTATATTACTAAATTATAGTCCCAATGTAGTAAAACTACTATGCCTACTAAGCTGAAATAAATCAGCATATGAAATACTAATAATAATGATTATTTGTTTCATGTTTAGAGTATACTCCATCCTAAGTGTCTCATCTATATCATCTAAGTTTAATCCCTTGGTCAATCCTAGATGGTAGCAGTTATTACCAACATTTACAGGGGAGGAAACTAGAATGCTATATAATTTGCCCAAGGTCATGCAATGAAGGGGCAGAAGCAGAATTTGAACCCAGGTCTGTCTGACTTGAACACCCGTGTTCTTTACCACATGCTGACTGACAAGTACATTAACTATTTCTGAAAATTATATGTGTGTGTTGAGAAGGGAGAATTTGGGACAGTTGTGGTTGAGTTGGATTTAATTAAGGCTAATATGTAGGCCAGGTGTGGTGGCTAATGCCTGTAATACTGGCACTCTGGGAGGCCAAGGTGGAAGGATCGCTTGAGCCCAGGAGTTCAAGACTAGCCTGAGCAAGAGGAAGACCCCAGATCTACTAAAAATAGAAAAAGAATTAGCTGAGCATGGTGGCATACACCTGTAGTCCCAGCTTCTCAGGAGGCTGAGGCAGGAGGATTGTTTGAGCCCAGGAGTTAGAGGTTGCAATGAGCTATGATGACGCCACTGTACTCCACTGAGGGTGGCAGAGAGAGATTCTGTCTCAAAAAAACAAACAAACAAACAAAAACCAGAAAAACAACCAGCTAATGTGTCTGCTTATTTTCATCAAGCAAATCATGTTGCCAGGCCATTAAGCTGAGCTTCAAAGGATGAAAATCAGTTGCTTCTCTTATCATCATTTTAGAAAGCAAACAAAAGTACCCTACAAACAAAACAAAACGTCCCCTACAGATTACTGAGCAAGTTCAGTTGCTCTGTAGTAGTAGTTTAAAATATAACTTTTAAAAGTAGAGAAGTTGTTAGAAAACAATTAAGTTGACTTGTGTTTTCTTTCGCTTTCAGATCTAAAGCATGTATTCCTTATTTGAAAAAGAGTAAAGTTGCTCATATCCTTAATCTCAGCCCACCACTGAACCTAAATCCAGTGTGGTTCAAACAGCACTGTGGTAGGTGGTAGGGTGAGGGGATGGTTTGCGGTTAATTTGTTTTGAATTAAATCTGTGTATCTGTGATACAATCACAATCTGTACATAGCATCCAACATTGAATTTTCTATGCTAAATCTGTAATATCATTTTTGGAAGTCTTAGATTTCTAATCATTTATATGTAATTTTAAAAACTGAAGTATAATTTACATTCAATAAAACACACAGATCTTAATGGTTCAGTTTGATGAGTTTTCACAAATGTATATACCTTGTATAGCCAATACCCAAATCAAGATATGGATTTCTGTGATCTCAGAAAGGTCTTTTATGTCCTGATGGGTCTGTTTTATTATATGTAATTTATTCTTCAATAAAGTGCGTTAAAACCTATTCATGAAATACTTTATCTGTTATAGCAAACTAATGATTTGTGGGGACTAGGCTAAGTAGCAAGATTTATATATGGGTGCCTCCTTTAAAGTAGTTGTATCAGATACTTAGTTTTTATTTCAACATAGTTCACTAACATTTGGAAAGACACTTGGAATAGGAACCTGCAGAGCAAAAGTAAAAGAAATTGTGTAATTGACTAGGTTAAATGAAATTGCAACTTTTTTTTAACTAACAGTAGTTTCCCTTTAAGTCACTTTCATTCTTTAAAACGAAAAGAAAAAATGAAATAATAATGTAATTTACCCTTTTACTATTAAGGAAAATAAAAGTTTATTACTGTCTCTTTTCTTTTAATCAAATATAAGAATGGAAATATATAAAACTAGTGCATCTTTATTCAATTACTTCTATAAAAACTGTTCTTTTAAAAATAGTACCCTTAATATTTTATGTATTTTTTGTTACTAAAAATAATTCTCAAAAATATATCAGGGAAAAACAGTAATAGAATTTGGTTATTTCTACTCAGAAATTAATTTGTTTCTTAATTAAATTGTTACTTTTTGTGGTTTCTTTCAGCTTATACCATTGCTAAGTATGGTATGTCTATGTGTGTGCTTGGAATGGCAGAAGAATTTAAAGGTGAAATTGCAGTTAATGCATTGTGGCCTAAAACAGGTATGCACTTACAAAAATTCATTTGTTAGATTTTCACTTACTGTTCTTTTTTTTTTTTTTTTGAGAGAGAGTTTCATTCTTGCCTGGGCTAGAGTGCCATGGCGTCAGCCTAGCTCACAGCAAACTCCTGGTCTCAAGCAATCTTCCTGCCTCAGCCTCCCACGTAGCTGGGACTACAGGCATGTGCCACCATGTCCAGCTAATTTTATATATATATATATATATTTTTAGTTAATCAATTAATTTCTTTCTATTTTTAGTAGAAATGGGGTCTCACTTTTGCTCAGGCTGGTCTCCAACTCCTGAGCTCAAACGATCCACCCATCTTGGCCTCCCAGAGTGCTAGGATTACAGGCGTGAGCCACTGCACCCAGCCCACTTACTCTTCTTGACACTTCTGAGATACATCCTGGGTGTGGTGAGGTGGGAGTCAGTAGACAGTCAAAAGTAACTTCAATTTGTCTGTTGGGAAACAACTTAAATTTTGTTGTACAGCATATGACCCTTTTCAGTCATCTTCCAGCTTTGACTTGGACTACATGACTGAGTCTTCAGCCAGTAGCTCTAGTAGGAACATTGACCACTGGAACACTTGAGGAGTCTCCTGAATCAGGAGAAAGTACACTTCCCTAGCCCTTTCTCCATCTTTGTCTTTGGAACCTAACTAAATTCTGTATATTCTCATACTTTTGTTTTCTCCTCACACCTCCCAACAAATGCTTTTAAACTTTCCTGTATTCTTACTACCTTTGTCTTTTTCCTTTATAAAAAGCTAGATTGTCTGTACTTCCGCATGAATTCTTCTAGGTTCACAGAGTGCTAGAACCCTATGAGATGACAGAGGAATCCACATATATGCCTTGGCTTTGGGTACAGATTTATAGTTATGGTAAAACACAATTTGATGGCTTTTAGGTTGGGGAAAAAGATGTATAAAAATGAGGGAGAGCTAGCAAAACGAGAAAAAGTAAAATCTTGTCTTTTTTGTGGGTTCTTATTTTCTACTTCTGTATGAAAATAGCATAAAGGAAGAAAAAGAGAAGATAATTTATTTCTCTTTCCATATATACTTATTAATAGTAGGTAATGCTCATGAAAACACTGACTTCTTTCATCTTAAATCTAAATGGCAATCTCATCCCAGAAAAGTATGTCTAATGACAAAGAGAATACATAGTGGGAACAACTTTTTCATTTCACTCATTAAATATTTTACAGAACCTTTATTATACTGACAGTGGAACTTAAACAGAAAATCAGTCCGGCCCCTTTCCAAAGAATCACCTTAATCAACACTCACGTTTCTGCTTCTGGGGTAGTGCCTTGCACACAGTGGTCACTCAGATATTTGTGAATGAATGATATTTTTGGATTCCTTTTGAAATTTTCTTCATATTCTTCATTACATTTTTTGAAAACACATCAATGGCAAATTGGAATCTTTTACTTAATTTGAGGGCAGAGGGAGTTTCTGGGGAGATGACTTTTGGAATTCATGTGCTTGTTGTCCTCCCTTTCCAACTACCAGCAAACCCCTCTGAGTGGAGCCACTGCTGGGGTGGTGGGCAGGTAGGACTAGGAAGGAATGAGCAAGATTTTCATGCTGTTCAAGAAGTAAGAAGCTTGTGAAGGAGTTTGTTCCCCTCTTGACTGGAGGATAGACTGGGGCCAATAGAAAGCACTGGGGCGACAATGAATACTCAGAGGTTCCTGGAGAGAGCTTGGACCAGGGAGATTGAAGACTCAACAGCATGGCTCAATAGGTGAGATAAGTATTCCCTGCCCTTAAGGTATGGACAATGAGCAGACCTAGGAGACTTCTTCATTAGGCCCCAAAATGGACTTGCTGACTGGCACATCTGGTATATTCTCTTACTGTTGCCAGCAAGGGTGGCATCATTTAAAGCATCTAAGGCTGAACTGTGCTGTCAGGAGACAGAAAAATTGCAGTACAGCTAAGGGGCCCAGTACCCAGACACAGAAAGAATAAACAAAACACCCAGAATAGCAGCTTTCGGTGAAATAAAACTGCTAAAGAAACAGAAAATACCTTGATTTAAGACCAAAAACAACTATGTAAGAGATTGAATTATATAATGTCTTCTGGAACTAAAAATAGGTTGTGTTTTAAATATTAAAAATATACATATGGTAGTCAAATTGAAGGATTGGATGTTTGTTGTTAACACCTGAATAAGTAGCTTGGAAGTTCAAGTGGAAGAAATATCTCAAAAGAGCAAAATCACCCTGAAGTAAAAGAAGATAGACATAGAGGGCACGTGCAGGGAACTTCACATGCAAATATCAGGAGTCCCAGAAGGAGGACTGGAAAAAGAACAGATAGAGGATAACCAATAATTAATCTTATAATAGGAGACAATTCCCTTGAGCTGAAGAAAGACTTACATATATATGTAGACTGAAAGGTTTACCAAATTTGAGGTTGGATTTATGGGGGGTGGAGGGCAGGAGATCTGGGAGAATCTCAGAATTTCAAGAATAAAAAGAAAATCTTCTCAGCCTTCAGGCAGAATATATGTTACTTACAAAGGAGAAAGATTACAGACTCTTATTTTCAATGCCAGAAACAAGAAGTCAGAGGAATAACATCTATACGTTGATAGGAAAGGACTCGGCCAAGATGGTATTTATTGACAAGATGCAAGCAAGATATGTGGATATGCTACCACATTTGAGGAAAATCTTCTAGAAAGGGCTTTTTACCAAACAGCAAATCTAGTAGAACAGAGACTTTTTCAAGATAGGGTTCAGAAATGAAGAGGAAAGAAATAATGGTAAGCAAATAACCCTGTGATATATGTGGGTAAATATAAGTGGATTATGATAGACTACCTGGGAATATGAAATATAGGTACCAAATAAGAATTCTTAATATAGAAGAGATAGTATAAGAGAAAATTTTAGGGCCAAGAGCAAGGGCTCACACCTGTAATCCCAGTGCTTTGGGAGGCCAAGGCAGAAGGATCACTTGCCCAGCCTGGGCAACATAGCAAGACCCTGTCGCTACTAAAAATTTAGCCAGGCATAGTGGTATGTTCCTGTAGTCCAGTTACTTGGAAGCCTGAGGCAGGAAGATCCCTTGAGCCCAGGAGTTCAAGGCTGCAATGAGCTAAGATCATGCCACTGCACTCCAGGCTGGGTGATAATGTGAGACCCATCTCTAAAAAAAAAGAGAGGGAGAGAGAGAAAACTTTAATATTAGTCGCTAGTCAAAAGCACAAAATCCTTTTTTATAAAACCTACAAATTGGTGACGAGAGAGATGTGGAAGTCATTGAATTATAAAGGACTCATGAGTAGGGGAATATTGGGAAAGGAAATGCCCATTCTAACAGTCTCATCTTGGGATAGCCACAATTCTAGGTATCTTTTTAAAAAATAATATTTTTTATTTGGTGCTAACATGTAGAACTGCTTTTGGACTTTAAAATTATAGACATTACCTTTCTAAACTATTTTGTTGATTGTAATAATTTATCTAGATTCTCTTGGATTTTCTAAGTAGGTAATCATGTAATCTATAATGACATTTATTTCTTCCTTTTCAATTCTTACACCTTGGGGTTCTTTTTTCTTATTCTATTGCGCTTTCCCTCTCCTCTCTCCTCCTCTCTATTCTCTACCAGTAGATTTCTCTTGATTTTTTAAGAACCCATGCCTTAAAAAAAAGTTTATTGTTTATTTGTAGTTTGATTGTAGTAAGACAACCTTATAGAGCAGGCGTCCTCAAACTACAGCCCGCTGGCCACATGCAGGTGTTTTTGCCCATTTGTTTTTTTACTTCAAAATAAGATGTGCATAGGAATTTGTTCATAATTTTTTTTTAAACTATAGTCCGGCCCTCCAACGGTCTGAGGGACGGTGAACTGGCCCCCTGTTTAAAAAGTTTGAGGACCCCTGCTATAGAGTATCTAATTCATTGTATAGTTGAGCTGTGAACAATGTGGGGTTTAAAATCCAAGGCTAACTTTTGATTCCCCCAAAAACTTAACTACTAATAGCCTACTGTTGACCGGAAGCCTTGCTGACAATATAAACGCTTGATTAACACATATTTTTTGTTATATGTATTGTATACTGTATTCTTACAATAAAGAACCCTAGAGAATAGAAAATGTTATTAAGAAAAGTATAAGAAATGTATTTATTATTAAGTGGAAATGGATCATCACAAAGGTCTTCATTCTGGTCTTGAATTCCTGGGCTCAAGCAATCCTCTCGCCTTGGCCTCCCAAAGTACTAGGATTATTGGTGTGAGCCATTGCGCCTGGCCTCTACCATGTTGTTCTCAGTTGTGTGAGCTGCAGTAGCTGTCTGTGCCTAGGTTCCCCTTACATAAAATTAGGAATTACAAATAATATCTAAAGCCCTTTATTATATATTTTTCAAACTTTTATTATGAAAAATTTTAAGCATATGTACAAACATGTACACAAATAGGTAGAATAATATGCCGTGAACTTCAACAGTTTTCACTGCATGGCCAATCTGGTTTCATCAGCATGCATGCCTCCATCCTCTTCCATTCCCACCTCTCCTCTCACTGGATTATTTTAAAGCAGATCTACATTATACTATCATTTCATCTGTATGTACTTCAATATATATCTTTAAAAGTATGTATCTCTAAAGATAAGGGCTCTTTTAAAAAAAACATAGAATTATTATCATAACTAAAAAACATTAATGCTAATACCTTAATATCATCAAATAGTATTTAAATTTCCTCAAGTGTCTCATAAATGTATTATTTGCAATTTATTTATTCAAATGAGAATCTAAACATGTTCTACACATTGCATTTGTTTGATATATCTCTTATGTGTTTTTAATCTAGAGTAGTTACACTTAATTTTTTTTTCCTTGCCATTTATTTCTTGAAAAACCAAGTCATTTATCTTGTAGGATTTCCAGCATTCTGAATTTTCCTGATTCTCCCAGTTGTGTCATTTAACACCTTTTTATATTCTCTAAGGACCC